GAAATAAGCTCATTAAGAGTCCATTTCTCCTTTTGCATATTATAGCTGACCAAGAATTGGCCAAACTGTGGAGGAAGAGAAATAAGAACTAAATGCACGAGTAAATCATCCGGCAACTCGAGCTTTAGCAACTTCAGCTTTGAAGCAATGTTAGACATCTCAACGATGTACTCTCTTATACTTTCCTTGCCACTGAACCTCATTGAAATCAGTTTCTTTAAAAGAATACCAGTTTCAGCCTTATCGCTTTTTGCAAAGCGTTTCTCTATTTCAGCAAGGAAACTTGCAGCATCAGTGATCTCACTAGACACCGCACCTCTAAAAGCCTCAGGTATGCCGCGCTTGATGATCATAAGACTCAAGCGATTAGAACGATCCCACTTCTCATAGATCCTCCTATCCTCGGAGGAACTAGCATCCGTAAGAGGAGCGGGTTTTTCCATTCTTAACGCAAGGTCTAAATCTATGCAGCCAAGAACAATGTGAATGTTCTCTTTCCAATCCTTAAAGCTGTCACCCTTAAGGATTGGAACTGAATTGAGATTAGCAGATACAGTAGCAACAACTGAAAAATGAACAAAATGATTACATAAATAACATGTTCATAAAATAAAAAAAAAATTCAAATAATGATAAATCCCATCTCAAGACACCTAATGCAACATTAATATCAAGTCTTTGGACAGTAATATTAACTGCAAGTGGTAATTTTGTTGTAATGATCAAACATTAACAATAATGCATGTCAAATAATAAATCTATCTTTGGATCGATTTATTACTCACATATAATTCCTTAAATTGTTACATGTTTACCATCACAAGTGTGTATGCAGTTCGGCCAAGTATAAATTTTCCTTTGGGTCGATCAATACACGCATGAACTCACACACACACAACATCCAACATTCTTCACGAACTATCTACACAAGAGAGGTCACTTTGGCAACATCATGTTTCAATAAGCTCATTAAAAAATGATGGACAAATTAAAAAAGTACCAATAATTCGAATTTAATTGAACATTTAATAAATAAATAAAAATGATTATTATTATTTATTTTATTTTTTTTTAATACAGAAAACTACATGTCGTTTACTTACGCCGTAGAAACGACATGTCGTTTCTGGTTGTCTTCAACCTCCAGACGGGTCAAACGGGTCAAACGACC